AATCGATTTGAAATTGATATGACATTTGAAATAATGCAATTAACGAATCGCAAAGGCTGCATTAAATAATGAGATTGATGCTGTAGCTCAGTTTTTTTTTATATCAGCTGACTGAAATGTTCACGGGTTTTTCATGGTTACCCATTGATGAATGTATAGCAAGTGGTTTGGGTCTGCACACTGTGATTGGACTGACATAAGCCCAGTCTTGTGATTTAGTAGCCACACTTTTACCGTTTAGCAATGTTTCTCACTGTCAGTCTCAGCAGAAGTGACGGCTGTTAATATCTGTTTAACTTTCAGCAGATGTTTTGTTACTGCTGGCAGTATGATTTAGGAATATCCTCTCCTGCAAATAACCCAGAGATGCACGCAGCCTACTCTGGGTTCCCTTTTTCGGCTTTCCCCCTGCTGCTGCAGTGCTTAAGGCCCTCCAGTATATTAATAATTGATTTTTCCATTACATCTTGCATAGTCATATGAATTGGCTCCTGTGGTCGTGGACATTCTGGTGATCCTATTGTCCAATTTCCGAGTTGCCCTACCTGACAACTCTTCTGGAATTGTTAATCAGTAACAGCTGGAGGCATTCCTATTGGAGAACCCACCATCATCTTGGATTTTACAGGCAGTTCCTATCTCAGCGGTTGCCTTGCTTTTTGCTGATTTAGTTACCTGCCTTTACATTCATAGATTTACCGAAAGCCTTTCATGTAGCTGTTTAACTTTCACAGTGCAGTTTATGCTCTTGGCTTTAGAGGGGATATATTTGTTAGATATGTACGGTTTCTTTGCTGTTCACCATTCACGTCAGTGCTGTTGACTCTTTCACGTTTAATTGTCCAATGCACATTTATGCAGACTGTCCTCGTTTCATCCAAAGTTATATAATGCAAATACAACAAAATCCATGCTCCTCTCAATATCCGTGTAGAGATATATTACAGTAATTTCCATATTTCCACTGCTGTGACCGGTCTTAATATTGAAAAGGTCACAGAATATAAAACCTCTGATATCTGTCTCTCTGAGAAATTTACATTTAAATATCAAATAGAAAACCTTGGTACCATGCTGAAACAAAAGCCTGGCTCTCTGCACAGACACACTTTACCTCTGAGTTGTTGGAAAAGTGTTGTTAAAGTTGTTTTTCCTCTCACTTCCTGATTATGCGGATGTAATTTATAGACATGCTCCTGCTTCCACCTTCAGGCCCTTAGATTCCATTTACCATTAAGCTCTTAGATTCATTAGAGGAGATAATTACAATACACAGCACAGCATTTTTCATTATTAGGTCTGTTGGTCTTCCTTTACTGAGAGACACAATAACCTTTGGTGTTTATTTATTGACTAATGTCTTGTTGGAAAATTGCCATCTTGTGTCTAACTTTTTATTATCTGAAAGAAATGACTGTTTTATAGTTTGTCTGCAGAAGTGGAAAGTAAAGCAACTTAAAAATGGACAAATTTCAAAGTGACGCATAACAATTGCCTCATACATGCCTGTAATGCTTCCTCTAATTTCGTTAATCATTTTGATTTGTCTGTGTCTGTTCTATTTATATTAGTTGACTTATTTTTCATTGTAACTGTAAACGAGGTGCTGTAGTGAAACAGCAACAGGCTCAGCCAACCTTGGATAAATAAAGGTCAAATCAGCTGTCTGTCGCTCTTGGCGGCATTGTTACCAATAAATAACATTCCTAGCTTTAGCGGAGATGAAAGAAAACATGAAATGTGCCACAGCATTTGAGAGGTGTTGACAATAACAGATGCACTGGATGTGCGGTGTTGACACTGATCCCTAAAATCTTTGCTGGAGTCTGAGGAATCTTGGGATTTCCCCATGGAGAAAATCTGTGGTTTTTAATTGAGCTTTTATCTCTTTCTTTTTCTCATCCTCGCTCTTCGCCCTCCTTCTTTCCTGCCCTTCTCTTCTTCCTCCTTCCTCTCATATTTTCCTGCTGCCTTCGATTTCAGAAGTCATTTCAGAGGGTTTGTTATGCCTTTTATCATGTGTGTTAATGCATTTACATGAAGACCAGTATCCTGTTATTATATAGCCTCACTTTGTTTTGGGCATGTCGCTTCATGTACCATCATATCCTGTTTTTGTCAAGCACACTCTCACATCCTGGCCATACTCTAAATAGCAGAATTCAATTCTTTGAATATACTCAGATTAGCAGGGATGCACCTTATGATCTTTTGCTGTTCACTGGTGCATCTTCTTAATCAATTTATATAGTTTCCATGGTAACAATGTTTAAAACGTTTCCTTTGTTTATGCAGCAATGCAGACAAAGATCTAAGAGATATGGTTTGTCTCATGAAGGAAGATTAATAGATTAGCCTGGTGACTTTAACCAAAGCTATCTGGATTCGTAAAACTTGAACACTTAGTTTAAATTATAAAGGATTTAAGAGAATGTATACACTGCTCCAGCTTAGACACAGTAGACAGCAGGCTTATCAGCTGAGATTCTGTCGCAGAAATCCATCAGCGATTTGCTGAGCGCAGCCTTTTGCTCTTTCTTTAACCACACAGAAACATGCGATATTTTACAAAAGACTCAATAAGACGACCATTTTATGAGTATAAAGTATGTTCTCCATACCAATTAAGGCCAGTGCAGAGCCTTAAAATGTGAAAAATGTCCACACACTGAAAAATAGGTCCCATTAATTTATATAGTGAGCCACACTGACCTTCATCAGTCATTCTTTTCCTGTAGCCATTATGTTTAGCATTTACAGAGCAGTTTCTTTTCTCCAGTAAGATCCCCTGCAAAGGCAGAAGAAACACCAATACTATTATAATGCATCTCACTGGAAACATAAATAACTGTTTGGTAATAGGCTGTTGTAAATGTTGAAAATGTGCGCAAATATAATACTTAATTTATTCCATTCAGTTCCGTTTCTATTGATGATATTTATTATAGCTGCTTGTGTGCTGTATTGTTATTCCCAGTGCATCATATTATTCTGCCTCTCTAATGGTCTGATTTTCCCATGTGGATCTGTAGTCTCATCCTTTCTTCAATTAAACATGCTGTTGATATTATATGCAACTGGCCGCCTATTTAATGTGAACTTGCTCAAAGCAGGAATGAAAAATCATCCCTCATAGTGCCAGTTCCTAAGCATTTTTGTAACATAAGTTATCACAGATTGATGTCAGGCATAATGAAGCCAAACAAATTCAGATCAGGCAGAACCTGCTTTGTGAGCGAGGCCTCAGGACATTCACTTTTTGTTTAAAAAAACACAACAAAAAAAGACATTTAGTAAGAGATGATCTTATCTGGAAGAATGCCTGCATTAAAACATGATCTGTGTGAGAATAAAACATTGATCTGAAAAACTTAATTATAGGCCATATGCACTGTGTGAAGCTTCTGATGGGATCTGATCCCAGACCAGCAGGGTCAGCATGGCTCCAAAAGATGGGGTCCTCACCACTGCTTGGCTCTTGGCATCAGTCAAGTCATTTTAGAGTCATCCACCATGTCGCTACTCTTTGGTTCCCACAATCCTTTCCCCTTCGTTGCCATAGCCAGAGAGTGTTTGTGTTGTCGAGGGTGTGTACTCCGAGTGGTTACTGAGTTGGTGGCTGATTGTATTAGCTAGCAAAGCTGGTTTGGAACATGGGAAAATGTGACTCATGAACTTTTGTTTCTTCTCTTTTTGCTTTTCTCCCACTTCATCTTCCTTTTGATCCACCCACACCCCCAACACCCCACACAGTTGAAATGATGTGATACTTGCTTACAGCCCACTACAGAAGGAGCCATCAATAAGCGAGATGATCAAAGATCGCACTCAGTGATGAATTCTCTTCTTTCAGGCTACTCCAACTAATTCATCATTTTAGAAGTGTTCAGTGTAGAGACCTTGTATTCAAGTAGTTGCAGAAAATCTACTTATTAGAATGTAGCACAATAAAACGCCCCATTTTGAAAACATGCATTTGGCACGCTTCTCAGTAAAAGTAAGATGAAATCACTTCCACTTTTAGTTTGTGATTCTTGAGCCATAATCCAGTTGTTGTACAGCAGATAGTCCAGGTGAAACTAGATAGGAATGTTACACATACCTGTGGTTGGTTTAAATTACATAAATTACAGCAGAACACTGTATTTTAGAATAATATTGTATGATTTTCATGTGAACTTTCAATTTGCAAAAACATCTGTAGCTGACAGTGCTACAGATGGATGAGAGTAAAACATACAATGACTTACTGTGAGTCTCACATAATGTCAATAGACTACTCTTTGTGAATTGTATTTCAGGTTTCTACGTCTGGGAAAGTGTAATTTCTAAAAGAGTCATTTAAATGCCTCGTTGAAAACCACTAATAGCAGTGACTATCAACAGTCAGTCTGTGTTTAATAAAATATCTCTGAGTCTGCCCAAAGATGAGCTCATATCACCAGTTTACTACTCAATGTAAATGGTGACGCTAGTGCTTGAACAAAGGTTTGGGCTTCTTTGTTTCTTTTTATCAGGAGTGAACTAATTTGCCAATGTGTGTGTTTGTACTTGTACTACTCATGTTGTGGGGACATAAATCTGTTTATACAGTCACACTGTGGGGGCGTGCCTCCCGTCTGAGAACAAGAAAAAAAGCACCCATAACGTAAATCATTGCATTTTAGGATGAAGAGTTGGTTTAAGGGAAGGTTTAGGCTGAAGTTGGTTTAAAGACTCGGGTTAGTCAAGCAGTGGTTGTGGTAGGGTTTAGAGTAAGTCTGTTGAAATTCATGTAAGTCAACGTAATGTCCCCTGACATGATGGAAACACAACTGCACGTGTGTGTGTGTGTGTGTGTGTGTGTGTGTGTGTGTGTGCTCATAAAATGAATCACTGCACCCTGACTGAACACACTGGTATAGTGACTGTGGGGAAACTGGGGCAGGAGGGACACAGACTCACTAATAAATTGGGACAGAAAGTACTCTGTGTCTTTCTCATGTTCGGTCTTTCTTTAGTTATGCAGGTCGTGTGGTTGGCAGCACTTTGAAAGCCCAGAGGGAGAATCCAGAAATGATCGTCCGTAATACAGATCCTGTCCTGAAGGGGGCGAAACAGAAGTTGGAGCAGCTAACACAGGTAACCATCACGTGCTCACTTAAAATGACAACTTAACATTGAAGCAAATGTTAACACACGTTCTTCTTCTAATTTCTTATTGTCAACAGAACCTAGTAAGAATATTACTTGTAGTCAAACTTTAATGTTAAGGTGGAGTCTGTGATTCTGAAGAAACATTGTTGATATTTAGATAGCTGATTTAGATAGTTAATGTGCCCGGATTACCATCACTCTTGCTCCCTCCGCCCACTTTACTTCGATTCTGTGCCCAAACACGAATGTGTACAAGATAAGCTGGAGTAGTGATGTGTGGCTCCGTCCCATAGACTGTATCTGAAGATGGATAAACCCTATACGACATTATCCATGTGTTTCTTAGAATCCCTTTTGAAGCTCAGTGTGGTGGCTCCAATTGTCGGCATCTTGGTAACGCTGACTCTTCCTACCTCCTGACTATTTCAAAAATAAGCAGTGGGGGAGCATGAGTAGAGTTGAGGCAAACATCTCTGGGACATGGATGTCCTGTGATGATACCCACCTCTCACTCAATGCAGCCACTGCCTTAATTATACTTATACCATGGTCTGGGTGAATACTCGATTCTGATTGGCTGCAGGGTGTCCATTAAAAAGTGATATAGGACACCTATAAAGAAGTTCCGGTTAAATAACCTGATTGTTCTAAATTAATGCGCTGACTCAAACGGTAGTTGGTAACCGTGGCAACAGAAACTCAGAACATACGTTAATATACGTTATATTTCGCATCATCCTCTGGACACACACAAGCGGTAAGAGGTGCACTTGCCCTCACGTTAAGCAATCATCTCACTTCCCTCCACTTAGGCCTAATATAACAGCTGCGGCCGACCGGTTACCTTGGCAACGCGTCACAACGAGAGACATGAAATAGTCCGCTCAGCCGCTTGTTGTGGAAAACTTACGATTTTAACGGTGAAAAACAACATTAACGTATTAATAATTGATTTAATATTTATTTAGTAATATCTTTCGTAAGTGACCATGGTATAAGCGGGATTATCCCTTACATAACTTTAAGCCTAAATACAAATAAAATAGGCAAGTTCGATAAAAACTAACCCTACACACAGTTGGCGTGAACAAACAAATTAGATTTAGAGACCAAAACTATTTTTGTACCACGATATAAACATGTTTATTTCTGCTATAAAGTTGGGCATTTTTATGTGGGGGTCTGTGGTGATTGATTCCGTTTTGGAGCCAGCCTCCTGTGGCCATTAGAGGAACTGCAGTTTTTGGCATTTATTGCCCTTATTTTTCAGCTCCCAAGGTTGCCACTATATTAGTCCAAACCAGTGACGTGCGGTGAGGTTCATGGCTGGTGAGGCACTGACTTCATCAGAATCAGATTTACAAATATATGCACTCTACACAGTAGCATATTTGCCATTACACTGGCAGCAGTTTACGGGTTTTGTTTCATGTCTGCATTCTTTACACATAGAAGCTGTAGCCCACAAAATGCATGTTTCTTTTTTTTTTTTTTTTAAGTTATTGCGGTGTTACCTTTACCTTTAAATTAAGTCCATGTGTCGCTCCTTCTGGACAAAATATCTGTTACTTTTTTGTAAAAGTCTCCGTATCTTGCTTTGCTGTACTTGACTTGCTAATTGTAGATTGTACCTAGCTTGCTGTCACTTACTCTGCAGCCACGGAGTCACAAGAAGAATATCTGGAACACGAGCGCCCCCTGCCATGAGGCAAGAGAACTGCCTGCCTCACCTATAGCCTCTGCTCAGCTGGTTTATGATCGCTCAGCACACGAAACACATTACACAGTTAGTGACAAAAAAACCACTACATTTTATACATCAGCTAAACTATGGAAATTCAATTCATATATTAAATGTGTTTGAACCATTTTATTAGTGATATACAGACAGCAGTACGTTGTCACTGCATGGCAGCCAGCGCAGTTAGCAAGGGATTGCACAATCCAAGGTGAGGCTCGGCTCACCGCTGCCTCTCTGGTCTCTCTTCCAAGCATTTGAATGGGAAATTATGAAAATTGTGTGATTTTGAATTTAAAAGAAATAATCAAAATTGGTGAGGCGAAATGAAAAAAATAATACTTTATAGCACAAATCACTGGATAAATATAACCATTTCAATTATTTTATCATTATATATTTTTTCTTTCCATGACCGCATGTCACTGGTCCAAACCACTTTGTTTGTATTCTACTTACAGAGCCTAAGCTGTGCACGAGAAAATGTTTCACAAATTTTTCAAAAAGTATAGTAGATTAGTGGCTAAGCTGACTCTTCCTTTTAGAGGGAGGGTATTCAGCAGGGCCTAAATATGTTCGATGATGACCTAACAGCTACTATCTAAACTGTCATGTAACTATAGTAAACATTCATTCTCTCCAAAGTGATTGATAGTGATCTGGTGAAAATGAAAATGAAACCTCGTGTTGTGGGGCCTTCCCCTCCCTTTTTGTAGTAACACTGTCATGAAATGTGACAAAAAAGGCAGCAATTTTTGTCTGTTTGCGCTGCAGGAAATGATAATATTATTTGGGATTCAAGGTCTTAGTTGATTATCCGTCGTGTATACAACTGAAACAGTGTATTTTTCCTGTTGTCTGTACGCTTAAATCAAGGTTTGACATATTTTTGCTGAGGTTGGTTTTGAGCTACAACAATTTGATAATTAATCAGTGATCCATGAAGATCTGTCTGATAATCTAATTTGATTTTTGCGACTGTTTAATCAAAGTTGCCACATATTAGAACGTTCTAGCTCACTTTAATAGTATAGTCAGATAAAACAAGCCATTTAATTGCATCTTCCTGAGGAAATTATTGCAGTCGTTTTAAATTCATAGATGGCACAATAAAGTGATTACTTGTGTCCACAGATTAATTAATGATGAAAATCATAATTAGTTGCATCCCTAGGTAGGTTATTTATTTATCTCATTATGCAGGCTATGCCAAAGCTTCTGCTGTGAACATGTACATCAGAGAACATAAGCATTTATGTAAATGTTAAGTCAAAGTAAACAGAGAAATGTGTGGCTGATTTCATAACTCTCCTACTGAGCATTAATATCTCCTGTGCTAGCCTTAGCCACGACACCAAGACACATGAAGGTGGTTAGCATTCTGCAGGAATGATGATACCTGCCCTTAGAGGATTGCTCGTCTCCATGTTTAAATTATGATGCTATTGTTAGTTTGATCTTTGGCTGTATTATAGTGACATCTCTTGGTGTTACACTAAGGTGTGATGTAGGTGTGATACATCAGTTTCTAAAGCCAGCGGCAGGTCTCTTGGTTGTGTGTGTCTCTGGGGGTTCGATGTGTCCTCGCATTCATCTGGCTCTCAATCATCCGTTATCACCTCGTCTGTGAAGCACTGCTTAAGCCAATAAACTTAAATGTCAGCACTCCAAACAGATGTAGATAATAACATGCAATAATAAATTAATTAATTCAACAATTAAATTAGATTTATGCAGCACTTTCAAAGCTCTGCACAGTATGGTAATGTGGCGACATGATTTGCATGGGGGATTCATAAAATCATATGAATATGATCCCACAAAATGATACATGAATGTTACTCATAATGATGATTCATTATTTGTGCTGAGGACCATGTGGCTGTGGAGACAGTCAGACAGGCTGATAGGCCGACAAACGCATTCTGGGAGAAAGACATGTTTTGCTCACCAGTAGGTTTAGGATTAGCCTGGCAATAATCTGTATTTTTGTTATTATCAATAAATGCCAATCAAAAGACCAAAACCAAAGCCTCTCTCTCAACACTCTCTGAATTCCCAAACACTGTCAGCTTCTCCTGAGACGTAAAACTCTTTTAGAAATAGACTGGATGAATGAATATATGCGTTTTCAACAGAAAAGTAATATGATATAGTAAAACAGTCTGGAATAGTCGCCAATTTTCTCTCTCCACTCTTGACCTCAACAAAACAACAGTAAATAGTAAATTTGTTATGAATTATTTTCAGTGGCGGATTTGGTACACAATGAAGAATTTATGACAGCAGACTGTTGTATCAGGTGTGTCAGAGAAGTTTCAGGACTGGTGTCACAAAAGATGTATTTCAAATACAAACTACAAACTACATGTTTCCCCCTTCTAAGTAATCCCCCTGCAGTCTACCACACTTTCCCACCTTCTCTGCCACGCTGCCATGCACTCCTGGAAGGATTCTTCCAGGATCCTCCACGGCTCCGTCATCACAGCCATCTTGATGTCATCCACATCTTCAAAATGGGTCCCCTTGATGACCTCCTTGAGCTTGGGGGTGTTTTTCTCAGCCAGGAACTGTCGGATGCTCAGGGCATTGGGAGCAGGCACGTTGTCATGGTGAAGCGACTTGTCCTGATGCAACTCTCGCCTCTTCTCGCGCACTGAACAAAGCAAATGCTGCAGGATCTCTTTGTAGATGTGCTGGTTGATCGTCTGAAGGGGAAAAGTGGTAGTTTGTAGTTTGGGTTTAAAATATATCTTTTGTGACACCAGTCCTGGAACTTTTGTGACACACCTCATATTTTCAGTGGTGGATTTGGTACACTACGAAGAATTTATAACAGCAAACTGTGTAACAGAAACACGTGTATCTTCTGCCAGTATAAAGGAACATCTCACCCAGTTCAGCAGTGTGGCTTACTGATGTGTTGTTAATAGTTTTTGGACAATATTTGAGCTTTGTGGCACTGAGAAAAAAACACATGTAAGGTCTGGTTACAGAAGCAGCATTTTCTTTTTTTTGTAATTCAAGTTTTTATTGAATTTTTCAATTTTTAAAACACAGACAAACAAACACAAAAAATCACAAAAAAAAACAACTACAAAAAATAAAACAGTGAGGTTTAGTGCAAATCTTTCTGTCCTGCTGCCTTAAAAGTCCAAATCAATTTGTAGACATATAGGTTCAAAAACTGTCCCATTGTTCCATGACTGCTTCATTATTAGAGTGTATTCTTCCCAACATTTTTTCA